CTACGTAAATGTGAAAATATTTTTTTGCTACACGTATAGTCTTTATTTCCATCACAGTGAAGAAAATTCAGTCAATAATAGGATTTTCTAGAGGCCATGCCACCCCTCGTAGCTCAATGTATATGGGCAAAGGATTGGGGCCTTGACATTTCTTTCTGTGGTATTTTGGGATATCTGAGCTATAGGACAGCTTTTTAAAAAGTGTGTCCACTAGATGCAGTGTGGCTTTAGTTGGGTCTGGGCTGGAGAATTACCTGAAGCTTTGGTGGGTCCAAGTACACCCTTCTCTCTCTCTACAGCTCTCTGTGGCTGCTGTGGTGTCAGGCTGCAGTGTGTGTGTGTGTGTGTCTGGAGGACATCGTGATGACCAGAAGCACCAAGTACTATAAAACAATGAGTTTGCAAAACGCGGTCATTTTTGAAGGGTCCTCGAGCGGCCCGCGGAGGGTGCTGGTGTCCCAGGGATGCAGGGGCTCCTCTCCCTCCGACACCCCATCAGACTTCCCGGACAGTGTGACAGATCTCGTAGTTGAGGATGTTGGCGGTGTGCCGTACGCCTAAATCTGTCCTCGAACAGTGGTTTATTCTAAATTCTTAAACCAGCCTCAAAGCTTTTCCTCTTGAATGGCTAAATTTATAGTTGGAAGCTTGTAAAATCCTACATTCTTTTCATTCAGCTGAAACCACGGAGCCCTACGTATTGCTGGTAGGTCATGAGAGTGAGATGATGGTTTGGCTGTGGCGCACGCACTGTGTGACTTTGTGACATCACTTTGCTCATATTGGGACGGAGGTGAGATGGTAGCGTGACCGGAAGCGTTTCAGTAACACTTCAGTTCTTCAGTGGTTCGGAGCCTTCACGACTTTCTGTGGCCCCGTATTTTGCCCTACTGTTAATTTTACTAACAGGAGCTCATGCTTTCTCTCCCCCTTCTCTCTCTTTTTAAAATGAGTTTTATTTTACTTTTTTTAAGATTTTATTTATCCATTTGAGAGAGACCGAGACCGAGACAGAGCACAAGCAGGTGGAGGGGCAGAGGGAGAGGGAGAAGCAGGCTCCCCGCTGAGCAGGGAGCCCGATGCGGGACTCGATCCCAGGACCCTGGGATCATGACCTGAGCCGAAGGCAGACACTTCACCGACTGAGGCACCCAGGAGCCCCCCGACCCCACTCCTCCTCTTTATAAATGGAGGATACGGTTTGGCATGGCTGGACATCAAATCATGGGAGGTACCCTTTTCTTCTGATAGGAGGTTTTGTGATCCCCTCTGTAAAAATGGTTGAATTTTGACCTCTCACTCTTGCTTGGTGCTCCAATTCTGAGATCGCTGCTTAGCCTCAGATCTCAGTAATTCTCACTCTGACGGAGCCGGACTCTCCTCCCTTTGCTCCCTGTGCTCGGGGCCGGCGCCAAGACTGGCCTTTCTCCTTCCCTGGGCGGTGGCTGCCAGGTGCTAACTTGCTTCTGCCCTAGACTCCAAGGAAGACCACAGATGGCAGATACTGACACTATCAGAGTTTGCCAATGGGAATCACAAGTTGGGGGACCAATCGGAACACAAACGATGGAAGGCAAAGGGGCATTTAAAGGATTCACACATACGCATTGTAGAAGGAACGTTTTGGTTTTGATTGGTTTTCCCTTAAAGGAATGACTCCCCGGTTTCAGAAATCACGTCCTGGCCATTCCCCTCTTCCTCTGGCCGGTCAAGAGAGCTCTGAACCCAGCATCTAAGAGTCCCGGTCTCACCTATTTTGGCTGCAGAAACAGAGGGAGCCTCTGTGCCCTTTCTGCATCGTGTTTGGTTAATGGACCCATCTGACTTGCTTGTTGCCCAAACTTCCAATTCGTCTCCAACCAAACCCCAAATGCTGCTTTCCCTTAGAGTCCAAATACTAGACCGAACCTCTGAATTTTACCAGTGACTGCGTGGGAGTCGGGGACAGCTTTTGACACTTGTCAGTACAGTTAGAAATCAGCCGGCATGCTCTCCAGGATAAAAATGCGCTTAAAAGTGCACTTGGGCCCTGAACTAGTCCCCCATCTGATTCAGTCACTGCTTGCATCCACCCGCCTGACTTAACCGGCTTCAGTTCAGACTCCGACCTGTGTGCTTTCACCGGTGCCAAGAAGCAGAACGAGCCACGGACCTGTTCCGCGAAGCCGAATAAAGCCGAGCTGTCTGCCCCCTGGTGCGGGGAGGGGCAGGTTCCAAAGGGACACGGAGCACCTGCGGGACATCTTCAGCTGGGGCCCGGCCGTCTGCGGGGCTCTGCGGGGCTCTGGTGTGCGGCACGTGGTCCTGCTCTCTGCTCTGCGCGCCACAGCCTCTTCTGCCTGCTCCTGACGCTGGCACCTTGTTCCCCTGGCTCCCGGCCCTGGTGGCCCTGTGGCCACCTGTCCCCCCTGGCCCCGTGTCCCACGGGGGATGCCTCCTGGCCCCCTGAATCTGCTCCCATTCCCTTTCAGACTCCGATTCTGTTCCTGGGCAAGTGACTTCCTTGCATTGAGACTCTTTTAAAGACAGGCTTTTCCTCCAGTCTTCACACTTTGTGTACATTTTCCTAGTTTCCTAAAACGTCCTGAACACCTGCTCCCTCCATCAACTGCCTTGACTCACGTAGCTCATCCACCAGCGACCTGCACCAGCTTGCTTTCCCCGCGAGCTCCTTGCCCGGCAAACTCCAAAGGGAACGTCAGGAGGCCGCTCCAGGGATTCGCTCCGGTATTTGTTGCCATGTGAGTGAAGGCCCGTCCTCCCTGCCTCCTCAGCGGGCATGAACGTTCGGAGGGAGTGCAGTAATGATGAAGAGAACACGGGGGTAACGGAAGAGAAGGATATGTATATTCAGTGTCCCTGGAAAGTTGACTTTGCACCTAGCTCAGCTACGGTACCAGCTTACCATGGTGACAGGAGGAAGACCGGGGTGGCAGTGTCCCCCGAGGCGACATCCTTCAGTCCCCATTCACTGCGCCCCACCTTAGCACAAACCAAATGGCTCTTCACCGTGTTTCAGCCTCACCCAGTCAGCCTGGAAGGAAAATGCTAGCCTTTCTTTGGGTCGAAGTTGTGTTGAAACAAAGCAAAAAACAACAAACAACCCTTCAGAACCTCTGCCGAGTGACTCCCTTCTCGCTTTTTTGTCCTTTCCCATTCAAAAATGTCACAGCTATGAAAGGTGAAATGTTTGGAAGGAACACGTGCTACCCATGTGAGAAAACAGTCCATTTTGGGGATCTGCGCTCTCTGCAAGACCACTCTGGGTCTCGACGCTCGTATGCAGACCAGTGGGAACATTTCTTGCAATATGCTGGTTATTGTGTTATGTCATAGATCACGTGTGCGTGGTTCTAGAAATCAGGATGCCTGGCCTGATGAAGGAAGTCTGTGCTACTGTAGCTGGAGTATGTGGGAGATGGAGCTTGGATGTGAGATGTTTTAGGACGGATTATAGGGAAGTGGGAACATTTCAGCCACACAGTTTATGAAGCCACTAGTTTTGCTCAGCAAAGGAGCAGGTCCCTGGCTGGAAAGCGTCCACATCAGTACTGTTCTCGCAGCGTGGCCTTCCCTCCCCACTCAGCGCAGGGCGGCTGGTCTGACTTCAATATGCGCGCAGAATACTCGGGGAGACCGACCAACCAACAGGTCTGGGCCTTACGACCAGAAATCCGGACTCCTTTGGTCTGAAATGAAGCTAGCTGTGCCCACACTTTGAGAAACTTTGTCGGGCCTGTGACCACTCTGTTGTGTGTTTTGGGTTGCATTTTATTACCGAGAACCAAGTGAGATTGACTTTTTCCGATCCTAATCTCCCGTGCAGAAGGGATGATTGCCTTGAGTGTTTTCTCTGTTCCTGATCTCCCCAAACACATGGGCTTCGTGGTGTTACACCCTGTCCTAGGAGCTTTCTCTCCTCTACTTAGAATGGCTGCAAGGGGAGAGCGTGGTGGCTATGTTCTAACGTCCTGGGCTCGAAACGAGCCCAGGAGGCTGGTTCTGGCACCTACAATGTTTCTAGCACCGGGTGCGTGCTGACTCGGGGCAGCCCTGCACCCTGTCTGATCACGGGAGGCAGTCTGATGGAGGGAGCAGGCTTTGGAAAGGGAGTCGGGACATTTGCCAGCTCTGCAGGGAACTTGTTTCGTCTAGTAAGTTTGGGTTAAGCAAGGTGAAAGCTCATTTCTTTACCGCAGGAAGCCGGAGGACCTTGGACATGTAATGTGCACTACCAACCTCAAAACAAGAAATAGAAACAGTGTTTCCTAAACATGTTTGACCATGGGAACCTTTTACAACTGAGTAACCTACCCGTGCCTTGCTGGCAACAGTCCGTGGCATGCCAGCCTCGAAGTCCCTGTCATGGCCCTTTCTCAGCCCGTGCCTCGGACTCTCTCTGGCTCCTCCTCTGTCCTGGAGGAGGGGACAGCCTTCCTGGTGGGAATTCAGAGTTCCTTGTGGGGTGACACCCCAGAATGGCTGGAGGAGTCCTAACCTGACTCCCTCTTTGGGAAGTTGAGGGCATCCTCCTCCTCTGGGAGCTAGTGATGATTCGTCAAAGAATCCGTGGTCTGCCCGTGGCCGTCCAATCCGGGCGTGAGCAGCACTTCAGGACATCTCCTCCGTTTCTGTTGTGTTCTGGAAGGCCCCACTTTTCACACAGGATCTGATTTCTTTCCACGGTTCTTAGGATCCCACCGGTGGCCACATGGGATGGGGCTTAGCCTGTCTGGCCTGGGGGGTGATCTCGAGCCTGGATGGAGCTAGCATGGGTAGGTAGTAGGTGCCCCTGGCTGGGCTTTTCTCCTTCTGTTTGCAAAACACTGTCGAAAGATTATTGCCTCCAATGTTGTTGAGGTCCCAGTGCCTGCACCTGATGGAGGGGAGGCTCGGGGCCTTCACCCGAAGGCAAGCAAAACACTAACAAGAAATGTGAAAACTAGCCACACACAGACATTTCACTTGGTTATCTGAGGCAGGGGAGCAAGCATCTGGGTGGGCAGGGAGATGTGATGCCTTTAGGGCCTGAACTGAGGAACCCGGAGGCTGTCAAAGGCCCACCACTGAGTTGGATGAGCTGGAATGTCATGGTGAAGGGAGGGGGAGCACATATAGATAGATACTCAGTTCCTGGGTCAAAGGCATTTAGAGAGTATATTCTCAGGCCCTCCATTCTGTTCCCATCGGGAACCAAGGCTGAGAAGGAAGATGAGGCAGGAGAAGGGAGAGTGGAATGGAGCACCCCCTGCTCCAGCCCCGGCCAGGTTAGTCGGAAAACAGGCTGGCAAAGGACTTCCTCAGGTTGCGGATGGTTTCGGCCTTGGCCTCATCTTCACTTGGGGTCCCGCGCTGGGAGGTGTCGGAGGTGCTGAGGCTGTTCGTCAGGGACTGGGATTTGCTGAAACAGAAAGGCAAGGGGGGTTGGGGGCGACAGGGCCCGAGACACAGTCGAGAGGGCTTGCCTGGAAGCCGGCAGGGCGAGCCCAGTCATCACGAGGATGTGATGACCGGAAACCAGGCATCCCAATGCTTACGTGATGCGAAATGCATCACACACAGTCTTTCACCAGCACGGTGGTTATTGGTGTCCTCCATTTTTAGGTGCAGAAATTGGGGCTCACACCAAGTAACAGGGGAGTGCCCACCAGGCCGGGCTGCTCAGAGGACAGGCGTTACCGGCTGGCAACTGGCCCAGTCTCCCGCCTCCAGGTCACCTGTGAAGTCTGTATCAGCCTCGGGCTGTGGCACCTCCTCCTGCCCTTCCTGGCACTAGTCTGGGAGTCAGGAGGCCCGCGTTCCGGACCCCGCTCTGCTGTCGCCCCCTCTGGCCTCGGCAAGTGCGTCACGGCTTAGGGCCTCCTTCACCTCACCGGTAAAAGGGCGGGCCGGTCCAGCTCACCCCTGGGCCTCTTCTCTCCCACTTGGGGCTTCAATCCCCACCTTTTCCCTGAAGCCTTTACTACCGATTCCGACCCGCCTTGGGATCCTCAGGGCGCCCGCTGTTTGAGCCGGCCTAGCGCTAGGTGACAGGGCCGTGGAGATGAATCCCCTTGCTCTCAGGGGGCTCGCACTCTGGTGGAGGTGACAGACACAGGAAGAGATGCTGTCAAAGGCCACAGTGTAAGAAAGTCCCACACAGCCTTGTCATCACCATAAAACCCAAATCCTCTCCCAAACGGGGACCATCTTGTACCCCTTGCTTATGCCGCACGGGCCTTATCCAGGACTAGGTGCAGATTGGGGATCTGATAAACACCTGCTGACTTGAACTGAACCACATAATACTTCAAAGCAGTAAATCAGGAGATTTAAGTGTTTCTAGCTGGATTACTATAGGGTCAGTACTTACTATCCAAAATTCCAAAGCCCTCTCCTGACCTGGGATGAGCTGGGCTGCACCTCTTCGCGTGGGAGAGGTTGTCTCAGATACACCTATAAATTGCCAGTAGCATTCTAAGCGCTAACTGTGCATAAACTCATTTTAATCCTCATAAGAAGCCTGTGGGGTAAGTCCTCCTGTCCCCACTTCGCATGTGAGGAAGTAGAAGCACAGAGAGGTTGAGTCATGTTTCTGAGGTCATCCAGCTTTTAAGTGGGAGAGCTGGGATTTGAAACCAGGTGGTCTGACTCTCGAGTCTGGGCTCTCACCCACGGCACCGTATTGCCCGGAGGACCTCTTGCTAATGCCTATCAAATTCACAATGCCTTTCCCCTTGGCTCCAACACCACCCTTGCTGGCATCTTCTCTACAGCTGATCCTGCACACGTGAGAGTGTGTGTGCAAGGTTATTCACGGCCGCCTTCTCTGCATGAGCAAACCACATTTCTGTTTGTGGCAGATGAGTTAGATTATAGTACAGCTATACAGTGGAATACAATACAGCTGTGTAAGTGAAATAAGTCAAGCAGAGAAAGACAATCATCATATGGTTTCGCTTATTTGTGGAACATAAGGAATAGCATGGAGGACGTTCGGAGAAGGAAGGGGAAAATGAAGGGGGGGGGAATTGGAGGGGGAGACGAACCATGAGAGACTATGGACTCCGGGAAACAAACTGAGGGTGTTAGAGGGCAAGGGGGTGGGTGGATGGGTTAGCCTGGTGATGGGTATTAAAGAGGGCATGTTCTGCATGGAGCACTGGGTGTTATGCACAAACAATGAATCATGGAACACCACATCAAAAACTAATGATGTAATGTTTGATGACTAACATAATAAAATTTTAAAAAGGAATATAATACAGCTGTGAAAAGGAGAAAATTTCAGTGAACTGATGGAAGAACTTCAGGATTTATCGTTAAATGTAAAAAGCAAGGAGAATGGGGTGGATAGTAAGTACTACCATTTGTAAAAAGCAGGGGGAGGGAACCAACATATATTTTTGTATTTGTGCAAGGAAACACTGGAGGACCGCACAAGGAACAAACAAGAGTGGTCACCTCTGGGGAGCAGGGGGGCAGGAAGGCACTGGATAGGAATGAGGCAGGAGGAAGGTTTTTTACTGTGTATCTTTGGTATTGTTAATATCTTTTAGATATCAGAGGAGCCATGTGAATGGATCACCATTCAAACACATTATGGTTAGCCCGATCCAGGGACTGGATGCCTTGTGCTCAATCCTAGCTCTTCCGCTCACCAACAGTGGGAACTCTGGCAAGTTATTCATCTCCTCCTCATTTGTAAAATGCAGATAATAATAGTTACTAACTCCTAAGCTTGTGAGAATTGAAGAAAACCCCCAACTAGGTGAAGTGCTTGGCACATGGTAAGTGGACACGGGATGCTGGGAGTGAGACTATGCTTATCGATACTAGTGCTTGGCATTGCAGGAAGGGGGGGGCTTTCCCAAGAAAACACATCTGGGACCTCTCTGGCCTCAAACCGAGAGATGGGCTTGAGAGGAAAGGGGACGAGTGTGTGTATCGTGATGGGTCGTTTACAAACATGGCATGACGGCCACAGTTCCTCCCGTGCCTGGGGTCTAGCCGTTCGCAATGTGGCTTTGCAGGTCCTCCTACCAAGGGCCTCGCTGGCCACGTGAGTTGCTTTGACCAAAAGCATGTGGTGCGATGAAATGACCTTGTGTACCTTCAAGCTGGGCCTCAGGAGGCCTTGAAGCTTCTACCTGTGCTCTTTGGGGGTGGAATTCTACCCTGTGAGGAGGCGGGGCCCAGCCTGAAGGAGGTTGTGGCCCACGAAAGAGAGAGGCCTAGCTGACAGCAGATGTGTGTGTAAGGCTCTCTTGGACCATCCAGCCCCGGTGAAGATGCCAGATGACTGCAGCCATATCACGATCCCAGCAGAGTAGGGCTGTTAGATTTAGTAATAAAAATACAGGCTACCCAGTTAAATCTGAATTTCAGATGAAAAATAAATACTTTTTTAGTGTAAGTATAGCCCATGCAATATTTGAGGATATACTTATACTCAAAATTATTCATCACGTGTCTGAAATGCAAGTCCAACTGGCCATCCTGTATCTTATCTGGCAACTCTACAGGAGAGACCAGCCAAAGAATCTCCCAGGTGAGTCAAACTCAGCATAAATTGCTGAATCAAAAAATTTTGAACGAAAAAAATGGCTGTTTTCTTAAGCTACTGTTTCGGGGAGGTTTCTTATGCAGCAAGAGATAACTGGTGTGCGTGTATCTGGAGGATGGTGGTGGGATCTACCCTATACTCTTGACCTCCTGAGTCCTGCCAGTCATCCAAGTTCCATCCTCTAGGCCTCCTACCCATTTAAAATCTGGGTGAGGCCCTTTGTCTCCGAGTCCCTGTCCCGAGTCAGCCCAGCTCTGCCCCAGCCCAACTCCACCCTTGACCCTGCCCAACCCCAGAGCACTTACTTGAGATGAGGGTGGGGCGGTGCTGGCTTCTTGGACTCTTCCCCCTGTTGGGAGGCGCTCCGGCCTTGAACGGGGGGCCGGGGCTGGGAGGTGAGGGGGGCGCCTGGCTTGGAGGCCTGGTTTGGAGAACTGCCACTGGATGCCCGGGACAGCTGCGGAGAGCCTGGTGATCTCTGCGGTTGCGGAGATCCAGATGGGGGGCTCAGGGGCTGCTGGCCCTGGGGGGAGAGCCTCTGCTGGGACGGGCTTCCAGATCGCGCCGGCGGCTGGGTCGGAGTTTGGCGAGGGCCCCCTAGAGGGGGAAAAGTGATGACGTTCAAGTTTTTCTTAAGATAAACATGGCTGTGCACAAATATGGCTTCAAGGATGTTCATTACAGTGTTTTTTTAACAGTGAAAAGCTGAAAACAATATAAATGCCCAGTTGCGGAACTGATCGGGAACATTAAGATACATCCATATAATGGAATATGCTGTGGCCATCATATATGATATGGCAGAATCATAGTAAATGACAGAATATTGTTGACAATATGTGCTAAATATATACTGCTGAACAAAAAGGCAGCTTACAAAATAGCACGTACAGGTTTATTCCATTTTAGCACATACGTATGTAGCTATGTAAAACATAAAGACTGGAAAGTTGTCCCCTCAAACCAGCGTGTCTCTAATTTTAATGTGCACACGAATCACTGGGGGATCTTGTCAAAATAAAGATTCTGATACAGGAGGTACGGGAGGGAGAGTGTGGTGAACCGAACTGTGTCCCACCCCCCCATTCATATTTAGAAGTCCTCACCCTCAAGGTGACTGCATTTGGAGATAGGGCCCTAAAGGAACTCTTTATTGTTAAATGATGTCATGAGGGTGAGGCCCTAATCCAATAGGACTGGAGTCCTTAGAAGAGAGAGAGAGAGAGAGACCCCAGGGGCCACACAGGGGAAAGGCCACATGAAGACACAGTGAGAAGGTGATGTCCACAAGCCATGGGGAGAAATTTCAGTCCTGTTGGCACCTTGACCTTGGACTTCCAGCCTCCAGGACAGAGAGAGGATAAATGTCTTTTGTCGAAGCTACTCCGTCTATGGTATTTTGTTATGGCGGCCCACACAGACTCCTACCGGGGGGATCTGGGGTTCTGCATCTCTAACAAGCTCCCAGGTGATCCTTCTGCTCTCCGCGCTTTGAGTAACGAGCCACGGCTCATGATTACTAAAGTGGTGGGGTTAATTCTCTTCCTTTGGCTCACTGATGTTTCCCACACCGAAGATGTATTCCTTTCGAAACAATGGATTATCCCTTACTTTTCAATAGCTTTTTACACTTTTCTAAGAACTTTCAAAGGCATATATGTCATTTGGTCTAGAGAGGGGCTGGTAGGGAAGATGCCATCCTTCTCATCACGGAGAGGTGCACACTGAGCCTCCCCAAGTTCTCCCAACTAGAAGGCGTAGCCGCAGGAAGCTCACGGGGTCTTGGCTTCTCCCTCTCACTGCACAGAGCATGTGGGCCTTCACCAACAAGCAAAGGGGCATCATAAACTTGGGGACATTTTAGCCGCCCAGAAATGACTGAGTGGAACTCCAAGGCCCCAGGCAAGCAAGGTGCTCTCTCCTCATCCTCGAAGCCCGAGTGTCGGGGCTGCTGAGTGAATTGCATTTTGCCCAAACAGATGGGGGCCTGCAGCACAGTTGTCCTCGCCTGGCTTTGTTGAGATCACTTCAGACAGGTGAGGAGACTGGGAGTTCAAAGGGGCTGGGGCCCGTCTCCGGGGCCCTTTCCTAACGCGGCTTCCGCTCATCTGCCCTCCCCGGGTCTTACTGAGCCCACTACACCCCCAGCCTAGGGCTGGGCAGCCTGGCATCGCGCTGCGGGTTAGGCATGATCCCCACAAATGTCCCCATTTTTCCAAAGAAGCTGAGTCCCAGATATACTGCGACTTGCTCGAGCTGTCACTTTTAATAAGGGGAGAGCCAACATTCAAACCTACATCTCTTTGACTCAAAGCTCTGTTTCGTTTTCTCTTTTTTCCTTAAAAAACAAACAAACAAAAAACAAACCCCCGAAACTATGCCATGCAGGGCTGCCCTGAGTCCTCACATCTTTGTGCAAATGCAGAAAAGGTGCTCTCCTCCCGGGGTGGCCGCCCTGAGCCAGGTGCAAGAGGAGCTGGGCCGAGGCTTCAGCTGACCTTTGCCCTCCGACGTCATCCCAGCCGGGACCTTTGCAGAGGGCACGACCTGCATGTCTGGCGGCACCAGGAGCCCCAGGTCTTAACTCCAGTCTCGCGTTAACTTGCTCTGCGGCCACGAGTGAGTAAGTCACTTTTCTCGGGGTTTCTGGACTCTTGTCTGTAAAATGAGGCCCTCGGAGCAGACCCTCCACATCCCTCCCAGTGTGGACGTTCTTGGGAGCCCGGGCAGCACTTCCGACGCTGGACTGAATGGCAGCCAAGATTTAGCAAGTGATTGCACATGGCCTTGATTTGCTGTGCACCGCCCTCGTCGCTGTCTGTCCTGGTGGTTCGGAGGGCCCAGTGATCTCCACCCCAAACGCCGAAATAAATGAAGCAGGCAAGTGTCCAAAAAATCATGGCAGCCCAAGCAGACTGCTACTTTAAATTAAAAAAAAATTTTCCCTTGAGATACAAACATAGTTCGGAGAACTCTTTCTCCAAAGAGGTGCAAGCTAAAGGAAGTAAGGATCGACACTACATTGCTGTGAAGGTGACACTAGGGAGGGGCGGGGCCTGAGGCAAATGGCGGAGTCCTGCTGTCCTAGGGAGCCGCTGGGACTGTCAGAGGACACTTGCTGAGGAGGAACCCGAGCCCCTGGCTTCCAGAGCTTCTGCTCTATCCAGAGAACTTGAAATCGAGGTATTTGTGCCAAAGCTCCCGATTTCTAAATGCTGGCTTCCTCTTGTGTGTCTTAAACCCACTTCCGGTCAAAGAAAACCTCTGTTCTCTACTTTTATCTCAAGTCTTCCCGTCTCCTCCCCTACCCCGGGGCCAATAATATCTTGGAAAAATCTGGATCCTCATTCATTCATTTATTTATTAACAATTTGTCGAATCCCTTAGACACCTGGGCTTCCTCAAGAGACACTCATTTCTTTCAGTGTCTTGGCAAAGCAAACAATTTAGTATTTTTAATTTCAGCACATACAAAAACCCATTAACTTATATATAGAAAGTATTTGCCTAAGCACCAGGATTGGTGCTAAAAAATTACGAGGTTCGTTAAAAGAAAACTTCACTTTTTATGGTGAGTTCAAACAAACAAGTTAATAATGTGATCCTGTTATTTTGGGAACTCAATGAAAGCATTGTTTTTTAATTAGCCTTGTTATTTTTAATCTGAATGTTAATTCAATGAGCATTTGCTTTAATTATCTTAATTGGTTTTAAATTAATTGTTTTTCAACTCACTAAAAAGTGTGTTTAGCCCGTGTCCCTTAAAATAATATCTCTTTATCAAGCATGTCTGTACTCTGGGCCGGAGAGGAAACCAGAATACAGTAGTTCTCTGTTTTAAAAAGTGCTCGGTTCAAATGTGTTTTAAAAAAGTAAGTCCTGGGGCAGAGCGGGAAAGGAGAGGGCAGGGCAGGGCAGAGGCACAGCCAGGAGCCCGGCAGGGGGATGAATAAATCATTTTTGAACATTTATAATGATAGAATTACCTCTAGGCAGGAGGGTAGTGGGGCTGCTTTATTTCTAAGGACGGTTAACGGTAATGATCATTAAGAACAACATGGATATTTTAATTGTTAATAAGACACATGTTATTGTGTGTAAGTTTTTAACAGTGGAAGTTATATAGATAGTTATTCCTAGTAAACTGAGCTAGCACCTGGGCGATACCCCCGCGCCAGGCACCTTGCTGCCCATGGACAGCTCCCCATAACTACCCAGGGCAGCGGTTATATCCCTGGGGAGACCAAGCCTCGGAGAAACGACGAGACCTGCCTAAGACTTAAGAGTACTGAGATGAGGAGGAGGATTCAAAAACACGTCTATCTGCCTCACGAAGAATCCCGACGTCCATGCACACAGTTATGGAAGTTATGCAATCTCCCTTTTCTTGAATACTTTCTGCTTTTCTGAGAAGAGACGCAGACACAAGAAAGATGGACTGGGCCCTTTATCCGAGACCCGTGGAAGACGATGCCATTTAATGCCCAAGGCCGGATTGTCCCAAGAAACCATGAATATGTCACTTTAATCAAAGCAACTGGAAAGGCCACAACGTGAGTCAAGCTTTTCCTTTCTGACAGGTTCTAAGGAGATTCTTAAGAAGATTGTCATGAAACCAGCCGGTGGGGCCTCTTGATGCAGAGCTGCACGGAAGCTCCAAGCTGGTGCTAGAGCAGGGGGCGCATCTGGAAGGTTCTGGCTGCAAGCGAGCTGAGCGAGGCGGCGGCATGCGGTGTCCCCCGCCAGGCCTGCGCGGGACAACACAGAGGTGGTGACGTTCCGTGAGAAAGTTAGTTATTGCCATGGCTCCCTCCTGTCATCACGAGTTTATCCGTTCTCTCCTAAGTGTCAGCATTTACACAGCAATGCTGGAATATTTTTTGAGGGAGAATTTCCATCGACGAAGTCTTATCAATGTTCTGTGTTTCTTTCTCTCTCTGTCTGGCTGCTTGGCTCATAAATCCATAATTAGGCACCACTAGTGGCTAAGAAACAAGACACCTTCTCAAAGATCTGAAAAGCCACACGTATAAACCTGCATTTTCTACTTGTGCCATGGCCACCTCTGGAAAAAGGACATACTGATGCTTTCACTGGGGAGTGCTTGGGAGACAAGAAAAATAAAGGGGGGGGGGGTAGATGAGAAAGTCCCTTGCCCGGTGCCTGGCACGGCGGAGGTGCTCAGCAGTCACCTGTCTCCCCGTCCTTCCTGCCTGAGTTGAAGGGGGTGACAGACATCACAGTCTCATCCATCCAGCCCACAGAGCGAATGCACGTATTCTGTGGACACAGCACTGCGGCGGATTTTCCCAGAGTGCCTTCTGGAGAGCACCCATGGACCCCTCAGGGCATTTCAGCATCCTCCCTGTCTGCTTTCCCTTGGTGACCTGTGGCTCTTACCTTGTGTGGGTGGCCGTGACTGTGGCTGTCCAAGCAGAGGCCCCAGCTGGGCTGGCCCCGGGGATTTTGCTGGTTTAGCGTGTGCAGCCTAGAGCAGGAGAGGAAAGAAGCCTGTCGTGATTGCCACAGCCCTCCGCTTCCTGCGTGGGAAGGCAGGACTTAGATCTTGTTACCACGGAGGTAAGACGTATTACCTAAGGCGCACAGTTAGTGGGAGTACACGGTCATGAGTTTTTACATGCGTATACATCTGTGTAGCCACCACCCGGATCAGGCCAGAGCATTCCAGGCGAGGAGGCTGCCCCACGCCCTTCCCAGCCAGCAACCCCTCAAGTATAACCATCATTCCGACAGCTACCATCATAGATTTGTTCTTGTGGGGGGCGGGGGGAGCAGGTTTTGAGACTTGCTTTTCCAGAAAGCTGAGTGCTAGCGAATTCTTTGGAGAACGATCTGGTAATCTGTGGTGAGCGCCATGGAAGGGAGGAGCTATGTGGGAGCTTGTCGAGGTTGGGGGATGGAGAGACAGAAGGCACAATAGTCCCTATTGACTGGTGCCCTGGGAACACGCAAAGGGCACGCGTGCACGTACACACGCCCATGCGTGCATGCACACGGCCATACACACACACCCACACGCACCCGCTGCGCCCTGCTTGGGCCTAGGACGGAGGGCACAGAAGGGACAACTGACTTCTTACATTAATAATCTCTGCCTGCAAGTGCAGTCGAGACAAGGTTTTTCTATCTATGATGGAAGGAGGAAGGTCTCAGAGCCTCCCAAACTCCCCTGTCCGGAGCAGGGGTGCAAGCTCGCATGCCCAGCCTCCAGCGACACCCCATTCCCTTCTCCCCAGGCTGGTTCCATTCTAGGACTATCTCCTTTGGATCCAGAGGCTCCCCAGTCCCAGACAGCCCAGCATTTCTCACGGGTACAAAGTCTCCTGTGCTCCCGAGAACCTTACCCAAGGCCTCAGGGGCGAGGGCACTGTGCCCCCTGGTATCAGGAGTTGGCTCATTTTGGAGACAACGAGGTCGGCCATCAGCTGTCTGTCCTCTTCCACGTGCTCTCCGATCAAGGGCATTGAGCTGTCCATCACCTGTGGGAGAGAAAGGAGGCCTGAGGGAACCCCTTGCCCGGTAGCCAGGCAGCCAGGCAACACGTCCTGGGAGGGCTGGCTCAGGGCTCAGGACAGAAGTGACCACTAGATGGTGATGTTCTCCCAGCAAACACCCAGCCCAGCGCCTCTCGCTGGGAATGACTCCCGCCGAGACACCCAGATCCCCGCAGTTCCGTTTAATCAACTCTCTGGATTTAGTTCAATTCAGCCTACATTTGTTGGGCTACAGAAATGTGACCAATAGCCAGGGAGCCTTTGCTGACCTTTTCTGCTCTTTTCTTTGGGGAGCCAGTCTCCGCCCCCTCCTTTCCCACCTTGGCTCCTGCCCAGGCATGGGGCCCACCTCCTGAACTTTGGCCCAAGGTCAAGGCTTTCCACAATGCCGGAAGCAGTGAAGGTGGGGGCTCAATTATGACCAAAAAATGACATGGGCTGGAGTTGACCCCGGGTTCGGAGAGAACAGGGATGAGGAAAGGCCTGTTCTCAGGGGTTCTGGCAGAACATGTGCCTGGAGAGAAACATATTCCACAGGGAATGGCGTGCTTCTGAAGGAGGCGAAGTGCTTATATTGGGAGGGGTCCTGTGAGATCACATTTGCTCATCTCGCTCTTTTTGCAGATGGGGAAACTGAGGCCTAAAGATGGGAAGGGACTTGGCCAAAGTCGCGCGGGCCAACCATGCAGGTGATCTCCCCAGGCATGGGCAGCCGTGGAAGGACTGGAAGGGGAGTGAGGCCTAGGCAGGCACTCTCTCCCCTCCTCCACTGTGGGAGTCCGGGCCTGTTCATCCACCCGACGGCCGTCAAATGCACAGCCTTGTTTCCCCTTTTCCCAAGCTCTGGACTCACCAGGTTCTCTCTTCTGACTGGGTCCTTATCTATGTCCATTCCCTCCGCTCACTCTTCACTTAATTCCTTCTCATCCTTCCTGGAACACGAAGCTAAGCCCTTCTTCTCTGACCGAGCAACTTCTAACCAGCTGCTCATCTACACCCCTGCTGTCCTCACATTGGTTGTCCCATCAGAGAGCTTACCCACAATGCTGACATCTCCTGTTTACCTGTGTCTCTCCAACCAGACCGTGAGTCCCTGAGGTCAGGGATGGGCCTGGAGTCCTGATCGACAGATATGCCCTCAGTAACTCCTACGATGGAGAAATGAAAGGTCCTTGCAATAAGTCCTGCTCATAATGATAAGGATACCAGTGTGTGCTGTGTTTTTAAGCACTTATTATGTGCCAGGCACTGTTCCAAGCACTGGGTGTGGATGATCTCGTACAAATCCCAGAACAGCTCTTGGAGGCAGGTGCTATTACCATCTTCATCATAATGATGAGGAACCTCAGCGTCAAACAAGTAGTAAGTTCAAGGACACATTGTCAGCAAGCCACCGTCCCTCCATTACTCACCGAGCACTGAACGGCTCTCTGTGGTGAAAACCAGGAACGGGAACCTGGAATCCAAGCCTATGTTCTGCTATAGACTCGCTGTGTGATCTTGGACAGGTCACGTTTCCTCTGTGGGCCCTTGTTTCCCTCAACCGTAAATTGAGGGGTCTGGGCAGCTGTGAAGACCCTTCCAGGTGGGGCTTTTAGGGGTCTATTTGTCTAAAGCACCCACTCTGGTTGGGAGGCTGAAAAGCAAACTCAAGGATGTGAATGTTGATTCTAGCACGGTCCTGAGAACTCTCCTCAAATTGAGCTCCTTATGGGTTGGGCCAGAGTCCTTGGCATTCCAGATCCCAGTGCCGGCACACGGGCAGCCTCTTGGTCTATGTGGGCTGAACTGAGTTATAACTGTGGAGTCTGTCTGGATGGACACAGGCCTGTCCTTCCTCCCCCTGACCCTACCCATCATCTTCTCTTCCGGTTTCTGTTTCCTACACTCCCTGCTGTGGAAAACAGCCACCACAAAGGAACCTGAGGTCAGAGCATTTTGGAATCCCCCATGGTGGACAAAGCCAAAGGAAGTGGACATTCTGGTCTCCCCCAAGGAAACATTTTTCCAGTGAGCAATATCATTCCCTGGACAGGCCATGGAGGACAAGGTCAAGGGTCCTTCCCCTGAGTATTCTACTGTGAGGATCTTCACAAAACATGTCATACAAATTTTATGTTCTCACCACAGAGGTGGCTGAGGAAAACGGTATTTTTGGATTTCTTCTGCCTTTTTTTTTCCTGAGTGGGGAAAAATACCTATTATCTTCCTGGTAGCAAGCTCCCCATCTCCCTTGACCCTGCTGTAAACCCAAAAGCAAGGGAAACAACTCTGCAATGTTTCTGAGAGAAAAAACAATCTGAAAAGTCATCTTTTTTTTTTTTTCCTGGAACATTTTGAGAAGTTGTTTTCTTGTTTTTTTAAAGTCCAAACCCACTAACTTTGCTTTTTTTTTTTTTTTTTTTTTTAATGTAAGAGGTCTTTCATCCATGACCCTCTGAATGTCTGGAGGCAGGGAGCCTGGGCCCACGAGTCCAGGCTTTTATTTCCTCAGAACAAATGTTGAGAAAACTCAAATAGGCAGGCGTTCTCGGGGCAGAGAGAATGCAAGGGAGAAGGGGCTAAACTCACGGGAGGGAGGGGAAGGGGAGTCCAGGAGCCCTTCCTCCATGATCGCTGTCACCTCTCTGGATGGGAGCTCTAGGAGGAAGGGTCCCTGCCGCCATGGTCGCTGCTATATCCCCATCACCCGGCTGGGAGCCTGGTGCCCCGCGCAGGGGCTCGTTAGCCAAGGACGGATGACCGCGTGTGTGCCAAGCTGCGAGCTCGTGTCTGGTGGTCCCTGTGAGGAGATGCAGACGCAGGGGGGCCGGGGCGGTCTCAAGAGATGCAACGCCCCAGGCAGGAGGCCCTGGGTTCCCCCCGGTCCAAAGCTCCCAGGACATGCTCAGGAAGGCGGGAAACTCATGCCTCCAGGAGGCAGCCTGGCTCTGGCTCAGGAGCAAGTGTGCTTCTGACCCCTCCAATACCGCCTCGGAGAAGGGGTTCCTGGGTTGGGGGCGGTGCTTTCAGTTATGGTGGCAGCCAGTTTTCCAGAGCAGGATGGACTCTGCAAATACAAATGTAGCTCATCCTGGGAGTTTTCCGGCCTCTCTGCGGAGGGTAGAGGGACGGTGTCCATCCAAGGGTGGCCCCTCCCCGGGCAGGCTGCCGATGCCCTCCTGGTGTGGCTGGCAGCAAGCAGCAGGGCTCCCCCCCCCCCCCGGGGAGTCACCTGGCCCTGCCGCGCCGCGGGGCCCGGGGAGCGGCGAGGCACGCGGGCCTGGAGGACGAGCTGGCTCCTGGTCACCCAGCCATGTGCTTGCCATTAGCCGCCCGCAAGCCGGGGAGGGGGCGACCGCAGGGCTCTCCGTCACGTGTCTTGGCCTTGTGTCAGCACCACCCGTCCGCTGTGGCTTGAGAAGGCCTCGGAAGGGGAGCCCTGCAAGGGGCTGTGGGGGGTGTGACCTCGGAGATGTGTATTTGGGGAGAGAAGGGAGAACTCTGAGGCCAGAGGGGCATTTTCAGGGGAAAGCTGTGTGTGTGGGCAGGGGAGAGGGGTTCGGGTGCAGAGGAGGACTGTGGGACCAGGAGGGACGGTGGTGGGGGGCAGTCCTGGAGGAGAGAGGGAGACGGTGGGATTGGGAGAAGCACAGAGGGGAGTTGTGGGGGGAGAGGGGGACTGTAGGAGCGGGAGAGGACAGAGTCCTGGAGGAGACAGGAGGACTGTGGGGTCGGGGGAGCACTGACAGGAAGTCAGCGGGGGAAGAAGAGTGTGGGATTAGAGGTATGGCCTGGAGGACGGCAGGGGACTGTGGGCCCGGGAGAGGCATGGGCTGCAGGAGGGTTGTGGAGAGACTCTCTTACAATTCTATTTCCCTCCATCTTTCCTTCCATTCACACCCCTGCAGTGCTGCGTTCCCTGGGTTCAGTGTCCTCCATGACTTGTTTTTCATCCTCTTTCCCCACTACACCCCATGTCCGTCTCGGTCACAGCTCTGTCCCCAGAGCCACACCCATGCCTAGGCCTGGGGAGCCCCTAAGGACAAGTGTGTTGAACGGACAGAGGATGGAACCTCTGCGTGGTGACTAGGGACACGTGCCCTGTTTACACACGTGGACACAGAAAATTTCAGAGGCCCAATGGCACACAGTCTTGCTGACTCGTGGCCTGATGCACTCCCCTGCCCTTAGGCCCAGGGGTCGTCAAACTTCATGTCCGGAGCTCAGAGGCTTGAGATGCTGCCGAGGGAGGGGATGGAGAGCTGTGTGAGGCCGGTGGGTGAGAAGCTCTGGGAGCCTCATGTGCCCAGGCCCCGGGCTGGGACAGAGCCGAGCACGCTGGAGCCCACACGTGGGCCCTGTCCGTCCTGCACGCCCGCCCTCACCTCAATGATGTAATCTCTGCCATCCTTGCCGTGGACGGCCTTGACAGCGCAGACGTCCAGGCCGCCAAACATTTCTGAGCAGCTATCCACCCACAGCCTGTACCTGCACAGACCGATAGACAGACAGACAGTGAGCATCGGGGGAGGGAGCAGGTAGGGGGAGCAGAGGGGGAGAGAGAGAGAGGTGGAGACAGATTGAGAGACACGGACAAACAGGCCGCAGGACAGATAGTGCCATGCGCATGCATTCAGAGATGGAGAGCGGTGGTCAGAAATAACAAGAGACAGAGATGCAGCGAGAAAGACAGACAGACGGAGACAACAGAGAAGCAGTGGGAGAGACAGACGGGCATACGAAGGCAGAGACACAAATGGACAGAGAGAGAGACGGAGAAAGGAGAGGGACTAGAAAGGGAGCCAGGAAGCAATAGAGAGAGAGAGAGAGAGAGAGAGGAAGGATGAGGGGGAGAAGGAATGAGGGGTGGGAGAAATCTCTGAGACCCCGGCCCCGGCCCCCCAGGACCCAGCTGGCTCTGTGGCAGTGGGGAGCTTGTCCCCATCCGGAGCCGTCCTGGACACCCTGCCCCTCCTGCGGTCCTTTTCCCTTGGGAAAGCTGCTTGAAGGGCTCAGAAATCCCTCCCAGGCCGCCCTTGGAGACTCGGCGACCATGCTGACCATGCTAGATGAGAGCCTGAGGGAGACAAAGGCTGCATTCTGCCCTGAGCCTGGGGCAGGCAGGCGGGGGAGCCTGGCAGGCTGCTCCCCCAGCCCGGGCCTGGCCCTCTGGACCCAGTGCTTATGTTCCCTTTCCAGCCACTTGAGAGCTGCAAGGTCAGTTTGCTTTGCAGGGGAAAGATTTCAGCGCTGGACTCTGACCCTTGCAACAAGGAGATGGTTGTATCTGGAGAAGTCTTCCCGGGCCTGCACTTGGCTTCCCTCGTGGTGGCTGGATTTGGGAGTCACAGGGGACTTTGTGTCAATATTCCCGTTTCTCTCCTCACTCTCCAGGGTCACTCGGGGCACGCCTGCTCTGAGATCTATTTGTGTCTCTGAGCCATAAGGCCTGGAATGAGGAGAGATCATGGCCGGCATGCTCTTAGAACTAACTTTCTCATCTTAATGGCCAAGGCCCACTGAGGCCCAGAGAGGGAGAGTGGCTTGGCCAGGTCACACAGCAGGGCAGTAATAGAGCCAGGATTACACAGATCTCCTGGTCCCTCGCTCAGTTTTTTCATTCAACTGTAGCAAGGAGCATGCGAGATCACAGAAGGAAAAGGAAGGATGACAACTCACAACTTTTCAGCTCCTGATAGGTACCAGGCCTTCTGTGGGGGTTGACCCTTCCTTCTCTAACCCCCACCACAACTCTGTCAGGAAGGCTGAACCCATATTTCTGATGAGGAGACTGAGGCTCAGAGACCTTAATCAGCCACAGTGCTGGCTTCCAAACCTAGATTCTGTCTGATTCCGCAGTCCAAGCAAGCCACGCTTCTTTTTTTAAAATTTATTTGCGAGAGAGAGAATGAGAGACAGAGAGCATGAGAGGGAGGAGGGTCAGAGGGAGAAGCAGACTCCCTGCCGAGCAGGGAGCCCGATGCGGACTGGATCCTGGGACTCCAGGATCATGACCTGAGCCGAAGGCAGTCGCTCAACCGACTGAGCCACCCAGGCGCCCGCAAGCCACCCTTCTTGTCAGCTGGGACACACTGCAGCCTGTTCTCCCTCAGCACGGGAGACCAGTGACCTGGAGTCTTGCTATTCATTTCCTCAATAATTTTGGGGAAGCCTCTTCTTGAAGCCCAACACTCAGATTTGGGGGCCCTGCCCTATGTCCGAATACTCTCTGTACTTTAAAGCTTCCCATGGGATTCTCACGTGCAGCCACAGTTGAGGACGACCTTCGGTCCTCAGAGCTCCAAGAGCCCCCCGGGCTCTCTGACCAGGGTCCCTGTATTTGGCCTCAGTGGCTGGCCGGTGAGGCCCCTTCAGTTTAGGAAGACCTGTGCTCTGAGACAACCCCTAAATCGGGTTTCTTCTCAATGGAAGGTGGAAGTCTGGACCAAGACCCAGAGAGAACTGGTTTCTAGAGGCTATTTTCCAATGATGAACTTCCAGAATACC